GAATCATTTGGCCTTTAAGCTAAGATGCTGTTGGACGCTAGCCCGAATGGTAATCCTGTAACCACGTTGTAAGTGTGTAACCGTGTTCATATGTAATCTGTTGTTGAGATTTAACACGCTTTAAACCCACAGACAAACACATACAGTCGAAAAACAAACTAAGAATGTAAAGCAATAAGAAATAAGAAAAAACAAAACACAAAAATTTTATATGGTTCGACAATTTACTTATGTCCACGAAACTACGAATCACACACACAAACTAGACTCCATAAAATGTCCAACATCTATAAGGACGAACCTTAATTGTTGCATAACTATATCCTATCTCATTCGCCGTAAGTATAGGAAGTAGGTAAATGAATTCTTACAACAAAAAAAAGAGCAGAAAATATAGATATTTTTAATCAAGCACATTACTTTCGAAAGGCGGGATTGATAGTAAAAACTCTAATGACGAATGGGATAAGCAAGCTAAGAAAAATAAAAAATTTCTTAGACTTAAACAGCTTGTATTTATATTTGGTTTTGTTATATGTGTACTTTACTATATGTTTGATGGTGTTGGTTTTGTTTATAGTTTATTGACACAAACACACCGACCGACAACATATTGTACGGTAAAAGTTCATAGAACAATTGCAATAACACATTGTATGAAACATTATTTCAATGCTCAGACGAAGTTGAAGCAAGGGAGGCACCGACCAACCAACCAATTCCAATCACTAACAACAATGCAGATATAGGAAATGTACCATATATATGAGTGTCAATCAATCGTCTTTAATGTCGTGATCGTATTAAGTATTTGTTAACACTGATTTGATCTACATACAAACAAATCTAAGTAAATCTTTTTTTTTTCTAATTTTACAGAGATTCATACCACATCAGATCAAAAAACTGGTCTGATGTTTGGTGACAAAGATAAAAACATGAAACATCCTTTTATATATATATTTATTATAAAAGGTTGCTTTCAAGGTGAAGGCATGAGCATTCATGTTGCTTCTATCAAACATATTGAAAAGTTCAATTAATTTCGACCATCCATGGGGTTCATGTCATTTGGTTGGGTCCCACAGATTATAGATGCCAATGGGTCCCATGCATGTTTGTTTTTGTCACGGGACATTTAGAAGAGAGAACTAGCTTGTATTTGTGACAAAAAAAAAAGAAAGATACTTACAGCTGATTCGTTCGACCCTCTGTTTACTCCACATGCATGATTTTAAGTACTATAATTATATAATTTTTTTTCATATCCACATGACACGTTCCCTCCACGTCACGTGAGGATATGTTTGGAATATTTAGGATATCTATACCATCTTCTTGGTATAGCTTACTAACTTTTTAGGTTCACTTACGACCTTTTGGTTCGAAGCTTATCACTTTTTATATAGAAGTTACTATGATTATTATAACAGAGATTATCCAAAAAAAAATTGGTTGATTTGTTCCAAAAATAATAAAAAAATTGCTTTGGGAGCAATTGAACCGGGTCTACCAAGTACTAACACAACCAAAGCATAAACAAAGTCTGGTCAAAACAATGTCTTCAAACTTCCACATGATCCATGAGCCATGTCCACATTTATATTCTAATGATCGAGTTGACTCATTAAAAACATTTTAAATGGATCAATACGAACTCAATGGTACAATATTATATATGATTTACACGTAACATGAAGATGAAATTATATGATGTGTTGTCAATTCTAACTCACTCTGTAAGAGGGTATTCTTGAAATGGTAGACACACTATGATGTGAATTCTCATGATTGCCCCTAAATTGTGTGGCATGAACATTAGCTTCCCACACAATCCTATGCAATAATTTCAATGGCTACTTTCAATTTGAGTGGAACCAATCCCAATATAGCTTAAATGATAATAAAAATAAACTATAAATTTATTGAATTTTTTAATGTAAATAACCTGTTTTTAATCAAACAAATAAAAAAATTAATTAAAATATGTGTAAACTAACTTAGAAACCTCGAACTTTGAATAAAAAAAAAATGTCCCAACCAAATTTACCCCAAAAAACCAAAAATGCTGAGCCCAAATTACATAAAATGACCCCCACAAATGATATAATGACAGGGACATCCCAGACAGAATATGCTTAAAGCACTTTTATTCCAAATCACATCTAATCTTTCCCGTCCCACCACTGGTTACTAGAACTGTGGAGAACATTAACTTTTTTTTGTCTCCACTCTTTCTTTCTTTTTTCATCAAAAAGAATTTTGGTGATAAAACATTTTGGGAACACATATATCCAAGATAGTACACCCATGCAAAACAAAGAGAACTAAGAGAAATAGTAGAGCTTTCCCTCTGGTTAAACCGTCAGGGTGTTAGATTAATTTATGTATATTTTAATTAATTTTTTTTTAATTTAGTCAAAAATAAATCATTCACGTCAAAATTAAAATATTCATGATAAATAAACTTCTCATAGTTTAATCCCAAACAATTACTAATATTCAAATTTAAGACTTTTAAATTTATAATTCGTCTCTATTACTACTTGACCTATTTTTTGAAGTAATGGTTGAGCTTTCTAAAATATCTAGATTGCTCACTAGGCCTATCAGTTGATTAAATTTTAATTCAAATTTGATTTGAATAAGTACCCAACTAATAAGATATAATTTTTTTTTATTTTTCTTTCCAAATTATCCAATCAAAATTCATTATATAATATTGTATGCATATTTAAACTTGTCAATACAGATATATATGTGCATGTATTATGTGAATTAGTGAACATTTGATAAAATTGAGTTAAAATTCATGGATAATTTAAAAGAATCTATTGTAATAAGTTGCTCAAATCGAATTCTTTTTTTTTTCCCCGTAAATTAGTGATTATGCAAATTGAACTGAAATTCAAGTGTAATTATGCAAGAATCAATTCAATTTGTATATTTTATGTAAATTAGTTTTTATATTTCGTTGTTTCCTAAGACAACACCAAACTATCATTGTAGAATTTTGGTACTCCCACGTCAAACTAGATTTGCTCGTAACTACCTGAAAAAGAAGTCGCAAACCAAAGGATATCTTATTTGGTCGATTCTCATGCTTAAGTTTAAAAAAACTTATAATTCACAATAATCATTAGTTGGTATTAACCAACACAAATTAGGAAAATAAATTATATACAACGAGTTTGTCTGTCTTAATTTAATTATCTATAATATAAAACATTAATTATTGTCTGTGCCTGAAGACACAGAGTAATAAAAAATAATAAATAATAAACATATTTGTATTTATATTTAAAATTAAATCACAAACGTAACGAAAATATAAAAAAATTTAAGCATCGATTTGTAGTGGGGGTGAGAGGTGGTGGACGGCAGTGATGGTGATAGTAGGAGACGGTGACGGTGGTGTTGGTGGGTGTGGCGGTGGTGGTGACAACGATGGTGGTGGTGGAGATAGCAGTGGCGGTGGCGGAGGCGACGACGGTGGCGGTGGCGGAGGCGACGACGGTGGCGGTGGCGGTAGAAGTAGTGGTGGGGCGATTTTAAACGCTATTTGTTAAAAAACTATTTATGAGAAATAATTTCTAAATGTACTTTTAAAAAGTCACTACAAACACACTATTAGGAGCTTATTTAATATATAGTGTTAATATTAGCTGTTAAATTAATTTTAAAGTAAAATTTAAAAGTGATTTCAATCGCGAATAATAAAAGTCATTTTATTTATCTTTTGAGATTTGAATTGTAAATACTTTATTAATAGATAATAAATTTATTTGACGATTTTAAATAAACTCATCTAACAACCACTAATATCTCTCTCAAAATCATTCATATTACAGGGTGTCTGACATAAATTATACCTTAAATTCAATATATATCTGGATTTGACTTGAGTACCTAAGAAAATATGATAGTTTATTTATTTTTTGTTCGAATATAAAACTTTTAAAATTAAAATTGTAACCAAAAAAAAAAAAGAATTAATCCAACTACCAAATATCTGGTCCAGGAGTTGAATGATAAAATGAGAGAAGGTACGTTATCAGTTTTATTTGGGAAGTGGGTGAATTGAGTAAGATAGGATACAGAAGAAGACAGCTCATCTGAGTCTGACACTCCTCCATCAGGATTCAGGATCATCACCAACCGGAGTAGGTCAATCAATACTCAATTTTTGTTTATTTTTTCAATAGTTAGAATTATTGGGATTAATTATTCGATACATAAAAACATGGATCATTCATGTCAGATTTAATATATTTATCTGATCTTAAAAAATTATTAAAATTTAAACATAATGATAAATTTACGACTCGTTTCTGTTATCACTTAAATTATTTTATGAGTTTATCAATACTCAATTTGACCAATTTTTTTTTTGGTTAATTATAAATTGCACCCAAAAGATTTTTTGAATTTTAATTTATACTTTTAAAGGTAAAAAATTTTAATTTATACCCAGATTTAAATTTGTATCAATAGATACTTTGAAACTAATAGCTGTCTAAAATTAGTTGGATAATTTATATTTAGATTTTTTCAAGTTTGTCACTTAATCATTTAGACTCTCTTATATTTAAAATATTACTCCTACACTTATTGGCGTTTGTGCATGTATAACACATAACCTCTTTTTATTGATATCTGTTAATATAACCGTTAAAAAATATAATTTTATCAAAATTATAATTTTTATATTACCATTTATTTTGTGGACCAGTTATATTCTAAAGTTCAAAATTAAATTTACTATTTGAATGTCCAATATTATACATATATTTATATAATATTTTTTATATTTAATGCAATATAAAACTTGAATCGAATTATTTAGATGCCTAATTGAAAGAATATTTTTAATTATATTTAAATTTTTAAATGATATATGTGTAATATTTTAAATATAAGGGATGTAGGTGATTAAACGACAGGGATAAGTATTTTTTTTTTTTTTTTGGCTTTCAGGTGGTGGTGTAAAACAGAAACAAACTTGATATTTGTTGTCCTTGTTCTCTCTCCTCCTCCACAGAGACCCATGTCCCTGAGGAAACCGTCAACCCCGCTCCCCATTTTCTCTCTCTGATCTCCTCTCACCCTCTTCCTGCCCAAATACCAAACGTGGACGTCTCTCTCTCTCTCTGTTTCTCCCCTTCGATTCAGCTCTCCAGCTCTCTCTCTCTCTCTCTCTAGCTGTGTTACCTCCAGAATTCTCTCCCTCAAAAAAATTCCGACTGAATATCCCCTTTTTTACTATAATTTTGCGTTCTTTTCCTTGCCTATTGTTTTATGCTTCCCACTAATTCAGTTTTCACCTCTTTCTCTCTCTACCTTTTATTCTGCCCTTTGTTTTCATCCCTTATTTCCTCTCTCCAAAAACCTCAATAAATCCTGCACCTCCTGTCCCAAAATTTCTCTCTAAGGTCTTCCAAATTGTTGTCGATTTGTATAAAATTCATTTCTTATCTTTATTTTGATTAGTTTTTCGCAATTCGTTTTGTGAAAGATAGCTGTGGAATTCCGAATTTCTGTGTAAACTTCTTCTTTTTCTAGATTTCTATTGGTTTTTTGGCGACTGAGTTTGTGCTGAAAAATCCATGTCACCGGTTCCGATTGAGCCAACATTGCCCGAATCATCGTCGGTGGACTCTTCGCCTTCTCGTTCTGATGGCCAGGACCGCAGTCGTTTCGCGGATCTAAGAGGGGTTCAGTGGCGTATAGATTTGGGGATTTTACCCTCTTCTTCTTTTTCTTCTTCCATTGATGATCTTCGTCGGGTCACCGCCGATTCTCGCAGAAAGTAACTCATCTCTCTCTCTCTCTCTCTCTCTCTCTCTCTGTATGAGTTTTTATATCTGTTCAAATTGCATATGGGTTTCCTTAATTGGGAACGTGTCGAGAATTATTAAATCGTTTGATCACCTAGGTTCAATTTAGAAAATTTTTATTAGAGAAGGGCACATTTGATTGTGATATATAGGTCTTCCAGTTAAATTTGGGTTTAAACTTAACTTGAATTGTTAGGCACTCCTATTTTTTCGTTGATGATAGTCATTTTCTCGTTTACGATCAAGAGTTGTGGAAGTTTCCATTTAGGTTTCTGATTGTGTGTTCCTACAGTTTACGATGTGTAGGGGATTTGGAAGATTTCAAGCTTCCAAAATTATTCTTGTTTGTTCTGACTGTACTTTGGAAAATATGGGGTCATTTCTTCTTTTGTTTTTTTTTTCTGCAACTTGTAGTTCAGCATTTAGACTGTTTTAAGCTTTTGAGTACAGTTACTAAAGGAAGTTTCTGGTCTGATCTGGTTTGGTATGGTCTTCTCATCGTTTCCTTAATGCTTGATCTAAGTTGATAAGGTTCCTACTTCTTTTCCTTATGTTTTTTTGGACTCTAGATTGCTGGCATATTTGCTAACTTGCGTTTAGGGCAGTGTTGGATTGCCGTACTATATTTTAAGTAAGACTTATAAGTTTGTCTTACTTTCAAGTTTTGTGACAGTTTTAAAGGAATGTGTCAAATAGTTTCTATGCAATTCATACGGGAAGTTTAACATTTTGTTTTGAAAGTTAATCTCCTTTATTGTACCTTCACATTTTCTGTGATTATTTTCTGAGCAAAATAAAGCAGCTTAGCTTCAATGTGAATAGAATCGATTTAGAAGCAAATTCTGAAAATTAACTTGGGTATTTGGGACTAAATCAATGAGAATTTCCACTTCACAGAATGAATGATGTGATGATATGTATTGTTTTATCACAGGTAGTATTAACGTGCAAATGATTAAGAGTAAGTTTGATGTTATTAATCGTCAGTAATTTGCCTCTTGATTCAAGTTAGTTGCCATTTTTTCTCAGGTATGCTGCTTTAAGGAGGCAGCTCCTAGTTGATCCGCATGTTCCCAAGGATGGAAGTAGTTCTCCTGATCTGGTCATGGACAATCCACTTTCGCAAAACCCAGGTAGGATCTTTTACATATCTCTTTCGACTGTCTTCTGCATATCAAACATTTGGCAATAATAAATTTCTTTTGAAGTGCCTTTCTGCTCCAGCATGTTAGTGTCTCCCTTTTTTTTTTCTACTTTTCTCTATTTGAAAATTTTTTCTCACTTTTGCCTACATTGTCTCATTTCCGCTACCCCTAGTTTACTGACTTTCTAGACATAATTTAGGGATTATTTATTGATGTATGACCTGGACACTTGTTGAGGGTGGTAGATTCATTCTCTTTCATCCCACCCCCCCAAAAAAAAAAAAAACAACGGAGATTTACAGATGTAGCATGCATTATAACACAGGAACAATAAATCATGTGTATATTTGTATGTTGATCTGTGTATCACCACTCTGTTGATTTGTGTTCTATTAGATAGCATGTGGGGTCGCTTCTTTCGGAATGCTGAATTGGAAAGGATGGTTGATCAAGATTTGTCACGTCTATATCCTGAACGTGGAAGCTACTTCCAGACACCAGGTTGTCAAAGCATGTTAAGACGAATTTTGTTATTGTGGTGCCTAAGACATCCAGAATATGGTTACAGACAAGGTAAGTTAAATTGCTTTCCTCAACTCTATCAACTTCTATTACTTTTGTTTGAAATTGATTATTAGTAGTACCCATTGATCAGTTTGTGCTAATAATGCAAAATGTTAGGTCAGTAATCAACTCATATCTCCCAGCAACCTCAATCCCTCACTTTTATTTTCTCATACCAAGTGTTCTGGTTGTTGTGTGTTTTTTGTTTCTGGTGGGCAAGATGCGGAAAATACAAGTTGTTATCATTCTCCAGTCAAATGCAAACTTATTCCTATGTAATTTTCTTTTTCGGTGAAAAGGGGTTAAACTAACAAGCCATCTTTCCTCAATGGTAATAATTTCAATTAGGGTGGAAGACAATAGTGGGGTGGAAATACTCTGGCAACGACAAACTAACAATTTTCAATGTTGTGTCTGATTATATTACATCTATGATCATAGTCTCGCAAGAGTCAAGAATGGATCTCTCAATCTCAGATGTAAAGCTTTAAAAGAATATCAAAAGCTCTTTGCACGCTTGTACACTAACATGCTTGTGCTTCCCACATATTCAATAAAAACACTTTTCTTGGCATTTCTTGTTATACCTTGTCTAATTTTGTTTACAGGAATGCATGAACTCTTGGCACCACTTTTGTATGTTCTCCATGTTGATGTGGAGCATCTTTCTGAAGTGCGAAAACTGTATGAAGACTACTTTACTGACAATTTTGATGGCTTCTCATTTCACGAAAGTGATTTGACATATAAATTTGACTTTAAGAAATTTTCTGGCTCCATGGAAGATGAGATTGGCCAACTGAATAATCTCCCGAAGGTCAGCAATATATATGAACTGGATCCTAAGGTACAAACCATCGTTTTGCTAAGTGATGCCTATGGGGCAGAAGGTGAACTGGGTATTGTTTTATCAGAGAAATTCATGGAGCATGATGCTTATTGTATGTTTGATGCTTTGATGAATGGGGTTAGTGGTGCAGTGGCAATGGCAGAATTTTTCTCCCCTTCTTTTGGTAACTTACACACTGGGTTCCCTCCAGTGATTGAAGCTTCTTCTGCATTTTACCATTTACTTTCTATAGTTGATATGTCTCTCCATAGCCACCTTGTCGACCTAGGCGTTGAGCCACAGTACTTTGCGCTTCGCTGGTTACGGGTACTCTTTGGGCGTGAATTTGCACTTGAAGACCTTTTAATAGTCTGGGATGAAATATTTGCATCTGACAATAGCAAATTAAACAGATGTAATGAAGATGATGCTGAGTCTAGTTTTGGGGTCCTTAATTCATCTAGGGGAGCATTCATCTCAGCTTTTGCAGTTTCAATGATACTTTATTTAAGACCTTCCTTGCTTGCCACGGAGAATGCAACTTCCTGTCTTCAGAGATTGCTGAATTTTCCGGAGGAAATAAATCTGAAGAAACTTATAGCTAAGGCGAAGTCTTTGCAGGCTCTTGCAATGGAAGCTAACAACTCAACACCACAGCTGACAAATGGTGGGGCCTATGAGAGGACTAAATTGATGGTTGTGAGAGGTCACAGCCTCTCAGCAGATTCTATTTCTCCGGGAACTCCTTTGAGTTTGGTACCTGATAGCTACTGGGAAGAGAAGTGGAGAGTTTTGCACAAGGAAAAAGAATGTAAACAAGATAATTCAGAAAAACAAATTCCAAACCGCATCAAGGGTTGGTCAGAAAAAGTTAGATTGCGTCTGTCTAGGACTGAATCTGACCCATCCTCATCAAAGGTTGATGCCAGAAAAAGAGACTCAAATCCATCTGTTAGGAGGAGTTTGCTGGAAGATTTAGCCCGGCAGCTTGGACTGGATGAAACTACAGAAATAATAGTGTCTAACGAGGATTTAGGAAAGGAGGATCCCGTCGAGGTGGGTAGGGAAGGTGGTATTGATAATAATGCTTGTACAGCAGATGAGAGATGTTTAAGTGGAAATGCTGGAAGTGAAGGGAACTCTTCTTTTTTCTCGGATCCACCAACCCCCAATGGTGGATCAGACAACCATGAAAATGAATTAGATAGAAGTAGTGTTGCGTCAAACTCATCCGCAGACGAAAATGATGTTGAACCCAATAATGCTGACTCATGTAGTACTAACCCAGAAGAATCACCTCTTCCTATCTCAGATCCTCCTGAGGATATCTCTTTGAAGTGTGGACATGATTATGATTCTGTGGGACAATCAGCAACGGATCTGAAGGAACCAAAGCTGCCATCAGGTAAATTCCAGTGGTTATGGAAGTTCGGACAGAATGCTGGTGAGGGTACCTCTAAGAAAGGAGGTGCATCTGAGGCTACAAAAGCTTCCAATGGAGGGAACAGTAAAACTAATGAGGCTGGCCTTTCTACAGTGGAAGGGTTTGATGGTTCGTCTGTGATTGGCAAAGGAGAGACAGTTGACCAGAACGTGATGGTCACTTTGAGGAATCTGGGGCAATCCATGCTTGAGAATATCCAGGTAGTAATTAGTCTTCGTTTTGCTCTGATACATAAGTGTGGACAATTAAGGAAAACTGTCTTTAACATCTGCGAGAACAATCTTTTCTATCCTAATTAAGATTGTTATCTTAAAAAAGTCATCCCATGAAATTGTTTGATGTTGTCTAGAAGTTCAATAAAAAATTTTTGCAGGGAATTCACCATAATTATGCTATCTAAATTCTAGACGATAATAATCCTAGAAATATTACAGCTAAAGATATTAAAAGAATGGGAATCGAATCTTGGAATTTCTGTCCCTTGTTCTGGGGCTTTTTAAGATGATCTTTAAACTTTCTACCCTATATGATTAAATTCTTTCATACATGCTGGTTTGTTATTTATGTCACCTGTACTGAATCACTTGCCAGGTCATTGAGTCGGTTTTCCAGCAAGATCGGGGTCAAGTTGGATCCTTAGAAAACTTCTCTAAAAATGTTCTTGTCGGGAGAGGACAAGTTACGGCTGTGGCAGCTCTGAAGGAGCTTCGGAAAATCAGCAACCTCTTATCTGAGATGTGAGGTGGGGATTAGTTTATATCAACCCTGTATATATATTTCGAAATTACACTTTTCGAGTGTGTCCAAAATAAATATTCTTTTGGCATCCCATATCTTCGACATCTTTGATAACTTCGAATTTTGGTGTGTACTGGAAACCGATTGGTAAATAATTATCTCATATTGTGATATTGTCACCAAAATTAGTGAAGCAGCTTTTAGCAGATCAATAGCATGTGCTGATTCATTAGTGCATATGGTAGTCTTTGTATGTCTGAGAATATGGGATGAAGTTGTTCTATAGAAATCCGAGGATTTGGTTCTCTTTTTATCTTTTAAAGCTTGGTTCCCTGTATCTACAAAACTATAGTGGGAACACCCTTTACTTACTTCTGTAGCCCCAGAAGAAAGAGTTGAAGGATTTATCAACGAAGCAGGATATTTATATTTTTTGTGCTTGAAAAGAACCCACAGTTTGTGTATACGGTGAGATATCAGTTCGGCTATGTCCAAAATGAAGGCTGAAATATGTTCTGCTGGAGGGTTCAAGCTGTTCAAATATATGAGACGGAGGGTGAGAGGCGATTCCGCACAAGCCTCGCAGGTTTGAATCTTGCCCTCCAATTGGGTTCAAATTTGGAAAGCTCTAAATAAAGTATGCACCAAATTGAAGAAATAAGCGAGAACTTTTTATTTCTCCCTTTTTAGTCCAAGTATATGCAACTCACCTTGGTTCGAGTCTTGTCCAATGAATTAGTTCTTCGCTTTCGCTGTGATGCATGTGCTTAAAAATTCATGTCTTTAACGTTAGACATCTGTTATGACTTTTGAAATAACTTGGAGACTTTCCCCATTGAAGTTTCAACTTAAAATCGTCAAGGGACTTACTGTTCAAAAATCAATGGATGTGTATGAACCTTGAAACTTACGTTTTGCTGTTATTTCATCTTTGATGTAACAGTCAATTTGGAAACAGAAAAAGCCATGTATTATTAAAAGACAACGAACAAAATTCGAGTGCCAGAATCACACAATAGCCCAAGATCCAAAGTTACCTTTGAAATAAACTCGTCCAAGAGCTAGCCATTTCATGCTACTGTTATCCTGGCAGTTGCATATACTAAGCTTGGGAAGGGGCTATCAGCTGAGAAAACAGAACTACTAATAAAAAGTATTGTGTGGGCAAAGTCCTTCACTCCTTTGTGGCATAATGGTCCGGAACGTTTGGGATAAATCCAAATACTGAATCTTAGAACACACCCGGCATAACAACTGAAACATGAAAACTTAGAACTTAACACAATGATTTTGTATCAAACACACATGCCTTTAAAAATTATCGAAATGGTGCCATGCTTATAAACATTTTTAGTATATTAGTATGCATTAAATCGTACCTATGAGAATTATGGCTCTTATAAATTTCAAAGACAAAAGAATACCGTTTCTTCTCCAACATCAGAGATTGATCTTCCATTTCATACTTTGATTACATTCTAATCTATGTTGTGAAAGCCTGGGAGAAGCGAAGTGATGAAGCCAAAGACGATCATTTGGATCTCTCTTACGATTCCCCACCAGCGGTTGCCATCATTATCAGCTCCAGCTTCCAGAGCATGCTCATTCTCAATTTCCCTATTAACATCATTCAGAGGCTGATTCTCATTCTCAGCTCCAGGTTGTCCCTCTGGAATGACAAAATGTTACTCATGGTTAGCAAAATATGAGCTCTTCCCTACTCATAACTTATAATGATGAACATACAAGAATGGAGTATGATAAAGGGTGGATTGGGCGCCACTGGGATTCGAAAATACGCTACTGTTATGCAGAACCTCAGACCAATGTCGAATTACTGGGAGGGGGAGGAAGGGAGGCACCACCAAGCCCTAAGGCAACCAATATTTAACAACCATGATATTTCTGGAAAACGTGGTGCAGCAGGTACAAACCTAATAGTGTGCTCATTTATGTGCACGTTGAACTTGCTATCGGAACCCATAGGTACAATGACAAGAAAGCAGCTTGTATTGAGCTTTAAGTCCAACACTGTGCTCTTTGATGCCATAAAGTGGGAGCCACTTGGTCCACTATAGAATTATCTTGACTGATCATACCCAAGTTTGATGGGTTTGGTCTGATGAATATGTATTTAACTTCGATTAGATCTATGAGAAAGAGAAAGCAGATCAACTAGACAAAGCCAAGAACATATTAGTGTTTTTTATTGGTTAAAAAAAACATGAAATAAAGAAAGAAAATGGCTGAGAGCTTTTCCATTTCAATTAATTCTGAATTGGTAGGAAATATACTATTAGACAAAAACCAGCTGACTTTTCTACATTTAGAAACATACAACTAAATGAGACAAAAACATACAAGTAAATGAGGAAAACCAGCTGACTCTTCTACATATAGAAAAGATAAGGCGTGAAATGAAAACAAGTGATTTCTTGCACCAAGAAGCAAGTGTTCGCAGTTTCAGCCATGGCTGCTAAGATCAACACCATCAGCTTGCTCTAACTAAGAGGCTAATAACAAGACGAACCTATGCGACAATTAATTGACATGAGCAGAATATTTTGTGAGGTCAAATAAGACAATACAAGAGATGGTATGACAGTAAGCTGAATAAGTTGAAGGCTTGAAGCTTTGAGTGTCTCAGTGGACATAACCATGTGGTGTGAGGTCCACTTCAAGGGTTCAAGCCATGGTACCGAAGAGGGGGTTCACCTAGTGTCACCAGGTTATACCCAAGGTATAGGTTCAGTTCAATTAAGACGGGACTCCCGTGTTTGGAGAAAGTTAATGCCTAGAACCATCATGATCAGATGAGAATAGATTATGAGATACCGAGATGTGCTGGTATATTTTTTTCACACAAAAAAGAACAAGACAATCAACTTCATTAAATTGCATCTTCTCTTGGTTTCTTCTCAGGAACAGAAAAGTATGTAAAACGGCTCAATCATAGTTAGTGTAAGTACCTGCCACAGGAGCATTCTCATTTCCTTGCCTTGCCACAGCAGGGGCATTCTCTGCCCTTACAGCTGGTCTTGGTCGTTGGGGAGGTGCAGCCGCCCTCTGCATTCCTTGTGAAAGCCATCGTATCAATGGTGCAAGAGCTCCGGTTTGGAAACTGCAGTAGTGAATAACAAAATAACAGAGTCACCACTCTTAACAAGTTGGACAACCACAGACACATGAACATACAGACGCGTGCGCAAACACAACCAACCCAAACCATGTCATTAGAAACATAAGAAAAGGTTATATGGATCAGATAATAGAAACCTTCTAATTCTTTGACTTCCCTCAATACACAGGAATAGCCGATTGCCAGACATTGCATATATGTTCATGTTGGGATAGTAAAAAAAAAACAAGACATGTGGAAAGAGATAGAAGCTCAAGGACTTACAGATATACAAGTGAAGCAAAAAACACAAGGAGAACAAGCCTTTGTCTCGACCCATCTTGGTTGAACAAAAAAATTACTGCTGCCAGCTTTAGTATAAGGAACAAGTCAACCTGAAATGCAATTTGAAATCTCCTTACAACTACTTGTCTTTGTGGTGCAGCAGGCAGCTGCTGCTGCTGCTGCTGTTGCTGTTGCTGTTGCTGTCCCACTGGACCTTGCTCCTCACTCACCGCTCCAGTCTCAGAAGGTCTAGGTCCACTGTTGATGCCACAAAGAGTGAATATTATCAGGCAAAAATAAATATATGGTTGGAACTCTTTCTGCAAGATCTCGGATCAGATGAATTATAACAGATACAAATGAAATTCACAATTATTACCATACATTCCACAAAGATATGGTCACTGTTCATCAAACATTTTCACAGTACTTATTTTTTCCATTATCTTACCTCTGACATGGTACCAGCATTATTCTAGTACATTATTATGTTGTACATACTACAAATGAATCAATAATCACAAGGGGGCATATCTCATATCAATCTGCAAAGCAATTGGCTAAGGAGCTACGAATTTGCTAATAAGGTAGTCCACAAAGTACATGCTGGTGGATAAATTAATCAATTACTTAATCTACTTCACACCAATACATTGTGCATCCAATCACTGACTCACACCATCACGAGAAATTTGCTGCATAAGAACGTTGCAAATCAACAAAGCATGCTCAAATATGCAGCCAAAATTATGATGCTGAGATAAATGAATAGTAACCTGAAAATCATAGATAAATGTACATACTAAATTAAAGTGACATCAATTGAATATAAGATGAGGGAAAGATGTTCAAGATGGCTTATCCATCTGTAAGATAGTCCAAGTACCTTAAATGAGTGAACAAAGAATGTGAATTCAAGGTTCTTATAGAAAAAGAATGTGAATTCAAGGAGCCAAACCCAAGTTATTCGGCTTAGGGATTGTTAAGTTGACATACCAACATTACATAACATTCCATTCACTACAGATGCAACCATACAGACACAACATTTCACTTTAGTAACATCTTTTTTTTCGGTACAAACTTTAGTAACATCTATACACTATACTAAAGTATCACATTTTCAAATCGTATATGAACAGAGAAATCACCTACACAAGAAATCCGTCAATCACTTGTTCAATCGACTTGATATGGGTTGTTATCCACAATAAGATAAACATTTTAATTAGTTTTGGCTACCCAAATATCATTTAGGTCATGATCATGTTGCCCGAAAATCTAAGAAGCACCGACGTAACTCATGATACGGATGTGACAAAACGGACATCCTGACATGACAAATACCAGCAAACCAACTTTAAATTCCTCAAGAATAAGACCCAATTAGACTCAAATACAATTATGCAAGATTCCATTTGTATCTTTGTCTCCAAAGCAAGCCAAATTTGGTGGTGTGTTATGGACTCTGATTGTGTTGATGTCATGATGGCACCATCATTTGTAGGGATGACGACAGACCTAGTTCAAAATCTTTTGCTTCTAACGAACCTACAATGTTGCCCATCGTGATCGGATCGAAACAAGCTCTAATATACCACATGAACTTTGATCAAAGAGTGAGGAAAAAGAAGGCAAATAGAGAAAGAGACAATATAATTATGGCACCATTAGTCTCTGTCACAACTTAACGAAAAAGATACACAATAGGGACCTCATATACTAGGGCAAAACAGAATACAGTAAAAAACTAAACTATTCCTAATACTAAGGCCCCCTTAACAAAGTGCACAAATATGTAATCTCATATAACCTGAAGTGAATGTATGCAAGGCTTAAGACTTAAGAAAGACTGGTTGAGTTACTACAAACACAGATAATATGATGAATGTGCATGATAGACCGAGAAACACAAAAGTGACTAAAAACAGAGTTCAAAAGTAAAAGCTGGAATGAATTTCTCCAGAATAATTCAAAAAATATGTTAAACAAATAGCATAGACAGAGTATAAGAAAAATTCTAGAAAAGAAGGAAACAGACTTGGCAATGACACAACTAAAGCTAAATGTACATAACTCTATAAAGACTAAAAATAATGTATCTTCGATTGATTTATTTTAAGTTACGGCCTAAAAATAAAATAACTTGGAGATGACACTTAGCAAAGATCATATACTTAATTTTTGTTATGAATATAACTACTACCATTGCCGCCGCCACTATTAGGGATGTAACATTGCAATCTGGTCCAGGGTTATACGAGATTTGAACTCACCCAACCCAACCTACTTCAATTTAACTTGTTTCTAAGATCTTTTGGTTGGTCCTACCTTACCAAATGGATATACTATGCCTTTTTTGAGTTGCTTTGGGAACCTTTCCTTCTGGGGGTAAGTTAATCAGAAAAGGGATCCTACCTAAGAACTGGTGCTTAACTTATGTTAAGTACATCACTGTGTGTGTGTCTGTGGGTGGGAGGGTGTAGATAAGCTGAACCAGTGGAATACAATAACTAATAAAACTTCGATTAATAAATCTGGGATTATTGTTCTACTATTTTTAAGTTTTAGAATCATGTAATTACTTCCCTAAAGTACATTCTAGACTTGTGTCTTGCATCCAGTGGCAGATCCATGTTATGGCCCCCCTCAAATTATATGACACTCAAATTCTTAAAATTATATTATATACCTTAAATTATAATCTTGATTTTATTTTATCCTCCTGACTATTGATTCAACCACTTTGAACCACTAACAATTAAAATTGTGACATTTTGCATATAAATTGCTAAATTTTGGAATTGTACTAATCTATAAAGCTTAGACTATTTTAAATAATTAATGGTGCAATATGTTCGAATCAATAGTGCAGTGGTAAAGTAAAATTATTGTCATAATTAAGAGGGCATATTATAATATATTCAACAACTATATATAAAAAGTTCAAAACCGTTAGAATATGTATTTTAGAGATTTGTTCTCTCTCCCTGCACATTTCCCTAAAATATGATGAAATCAAATTGTACTCAAGTGACTCTACAATGAAGTGACTGAAATTATTGATTATTTGATGAATTGATTTGACTTTTACATCTAATAATTCAACTAGTTTCAATTAATTTTATTCGTTTATGGAAAATATAATTACATTGTGCAATGTAGATTGATTCATATGTTCTATGCATGTAAAAATTTGACATAAATGATCTTATTGAATGAACCACATTCAATAAAAATACCTTATTATGCCACTATTTCCACCCCCACCCCTTTTTTTTTTCAAGAGAAAATCCTAGCTCCGTCCTATTTGCAGGTGAGAGATAAAGCTTGTTTCAAAGCTTGTTTAAACAGGATAGTTGCATGCCAAATGTTGAAAACTAGTAAAACCTTCAGCAAGTCAAAACAACCCATATGAAACCAAACTCTGTACACATTGCATTGGTGTTATTCACGTGATCTATAGACTGATTCTGACTGAACCACATGTGAGGCCAGCATAAGTTGCTTCAGCCCTGGGTTGGTGTTCGCATTTATAAAGCCTTAAGACCTTGCCTCTCACACATACTGTACCATAAAATTCCTTAGTTTTCATTCGCAAACCAAAGGATTTATCCGTGAAAAGGTTTACCTTGAGAAAATTCAGGTTTAACATGCGCCCGAGCGCCATTAGCACAAGGCTGTCACCCAACTGAATTGAGTTGTATGATATCTCTACCATAAAACTGTATCCTTACCCTACATGCAAAAATATATGGTGTAGCCATGACTTTTTGGGCCAAGTTTACAGCATAACAGTGATACCTAATGCTGGGCCTAATGTTCCGGGCTGCTCTCATACTAAAGGCTAAAGCCACTTGGTTTCTCCAGCCTTTACCATTGCCCAATAATGTATACGTTTATTTTGGCTTTTGGAAAGTTTTAGATGCATGTGGACCAAGTCCAAACAACTCGAATACTGGCAGAAACATGTATCTTCTCTCTAAAAGTGTACGTGCTTGTCAATGAAATTTTACATGCCATACTCAAATTCTCACAAATTTTCAATTTTCACGAAGAGGACCATTAATTAGGAGTGCCCAGTAAAACCTGATAGCCTTTTAAACATCGACTAACTTCGCAAGTGCCAGTACATGTATAATTACACCAATCATCAAACCACGACAGTAGGACAACAGAAGGAATTATCCATTCAAAATGAGAAACAAAACAAGATGTAAATTACAAAGGGAATACTAATGAGCACTTCAAGGAGCTATAAAACCCCTAGAGTTGATATAAGGTGATTATTAATTTTAATAAGAATAAATAATCGGTGGCATTCTTAGCTCTCATTATCACATGGTACTGCTGTAAAACTTACGTGGGTATATTGTAGGTAAAAGGGATCAGCGTGTTCGGGGGATATCCAGCAACAGGCCCCATAAACGGAACGATAGGAACAGCATAAAGGCCTGGTCCACGGTTTATCTGTTCCTGGTCCTGTTGCAAATGGAATAACCCAGGAACAAGAGCAGGGTACATAATTGGAAACATTTGAATATCACCATTAGGTCTAGCAGAAAAGCCACTGGATGCTGGTTCCTGTGATAAAAAAAAAAAAAAAAAGAACTGACTAAGGCAGTTGATCAAATCTGGAAAAGAAATTAAGAATCAACAATTTTGTAGCTTCTTGATAGACTAACTTTTTTCTCTGTTGACAGTACAATTTTTCAAGTCAACAGTTCACTCACTAATGGTTTAAAGAGAATACTTAACAAAAGCTCTTTACAAAACCACACGCATAAAAAGGATTTCCACTCAGGCAACCAAGTAAATACTTATGTCTTCAATATAACATGTCTTGATAGCAAGGAATAGCCAAAAAAGAACACAGCCTAGTCTGCCGCACGCCTGCAATAAGGGGAGGCCAGAGTAATGTGGTTTAGGGGACAAGTCAAATCATAATAGCAGCTCAAGTAATGTAGCTAGTTTTTTATGTTGTCCTAGAATCTAGTAATGATTTTTAATTTGCATTCTCTCCTTTTTTGCAAAGAAACAGAACTTTTATTGCAAAAAGGGAAGTAGAAAAGCAGAGGACAATAAATCCTACAACTTTTCTTTTCTACACCACTCTTTCTACAACAAAACCTTAAAACCCACATTTATTGATCCTAAAAACCCCTAGTTTATAATACCCAAACCATTCTTGATTCTAACACCAAATGCCACACCCTAAAGACCATAAACATCAAAATTCACATCCCTTACTGTTCTCAAGTACTTTTGAAAGCTCAGAATAGGTCATCTTTCAGCCCCTAGACCCTAACATATCAATTTCTAGTCGATCTTATCCCTATATCCAACCTTCGACCAGCAATTTAACATAAAATCCCTGAACTGTAACATATCCAGAACTTCCTGGGCATCTTCTCTTGATTGTTCTGCAACAAAACACCTCCTATATCCAACGAATACCAACCATCTTCCATCCATAAAGCCTAAAATCCTTTCATCTTGTAAAACTCTTAACTCCATTAGTCTGACCAGAGCCCACCACAAATCCATTCGTAGGTAGCAGAAGCCTGATCTTCCTTGTGCCAACCTGCATCAAAGAGCTTTTATGTTCTGCATTTTCAACCTGAAGAGTACGGAGCATGTTGAGTTTCATTTCTTATGCATGGGAAAATCACTGTTAAAGAATGGAGTGCCAGACCTTAGGCTTTAGATATCTCTGGTTCTAATAAAGCGAAGTCTCTATAATTTCAATTTGATAGTAGCCAATAGCCAGGGATAGAGTTTGATTTCAAGTTATGGGATTTAAAAAGGCAGAGAAAAAGTTGGAGGATTAATATATCCAAACTAACTTGGTTTTTGAATTGTAACTAAATAACACCCAATTTACTCCCCATCAAAGGGTGTCGGGAGGGGTAGATTGGGGACAAACCCAACCTTTGGCATTATTTGCACAAAGTGGCTGTTATCGAGTTCAAACCCAAAACTTCTAGGTTATTGGGCCGAATTTGAACAAACTCACCAAGTGGCCCCCCTTTAAGGGGCTGTAACCATTAAACTGAAAACAGTCTCTGGAGTTTCAATGAGAAGAATATTATCCATCTTCTAGAACCTAACCAACAGTTGCTGAGGCTACACCCGCTACACACAATCTTCAGCACTCTAAGACCAAACGGAAATAAATTCACAAATTTCATAATTGCACATCACTTGCTGGCTTACTTCAAATTTTTATAGGACCAAGACAGAAAGACTAAACTCTTAGAAAAGTTGAAAAAAGAGAGCGTCAAGGCCTAGAAAAACCACATACGAAGACCCAACAACACAACAATAAAAAAACCAACCCTACCATTTGTGGCAACAAATCTAGAAACTAGGAAAATCTTTTAAATTTTAAAACATCAGAAAGACGTAGCGTAATCCAGCCACATAAATTTTTTAATCAAGATACTAGTCAACTCCAACTGCTGAGAATTAAATGCCCAAACCGACTTAGATTAGATTTACAAATCCATGCACTATCTTATTCTTTTTCTTCCATTTATTTGATTATACACTTTTCAATCTGCATATCCTATGGCTAAATCCCCATCTGCATTCCGACGCAGAATATCAATCCAGCAAACATATTTTGTGCATGTTACTACATAATGTCAAAACCAAAACACACAAATCATCCTTGTCAATTATTTTTTTATTCCATGCAAAAAAAGTTGTTATCCAGTTTCTTCTTAAAATTGACAAACTATAGAAAGGTTAGTATTCAATTGCTACAACATCCAGTTATTTAAAATGTGTCCTTTAACACCTATTTACAAATATCCAAACAAGCAAAATCTCTCGATACACGCTGGGACGCAAAGTGAACTTAGCAACTCCCAATGAAACTTGTGAAATTCCAGCTTAACATATCCACTGCTTCAAGCAGTATAACATCAAAAAAGCAGTATATTCAGCTATATAGGATTAGAATAAATAAATCATGAGATTATGTAGATTAAGCAACAATATGGCTAGCAAACAAAAATACCAAAAAATTGCTTCTATGAGAGTAATGATATAATTGATCTTATTCTAATTTCAGATGATAGCTCACTGCCCATACAACTTCATGATTGGAAAATAATTTCATAACACAACCATATAATTTACTTGATACTTCCATACACCCAAAATTCCTATAAGAAAGCAGATGAATTAATAGGCAAAGCAATGATCAAGTAGTCTATAGATAATATAAGAACAAAAGAACTACAAAAAAGTTAGACTAAAAGGTGCACCAAAATCCACCCAATGTAACATGCTAAAGGTAATATAATGGAGGTATCCAAGAGAAAAAGAGGACTTTCCCAAATGCTAAAGAAAATTATGGGCCAATGTTGCACATCTCAGTACGGAGGCTCTATGTAGTTGGAGCATGCCCTCAGATTTAGTGTTTCACCAATAATAAAGAAAGGGCTTTACATTGACCTATGTTGCAACCCTATCAATTACACTTTGAAAATCATGATTTGCAAACCATATGTTTTGTATTAATGATGCAATGTTCGAAATCCTAACTAAAAAAGAGAGGGAAGGGGGTTATGAGCTACTAGAGCTGGTAAATGGGTGGGTTTTGTATAGAGCTGCTAAACGTACGTGCTAAAATATGTTGGGTCATAAGGTGTTGGACTTAAGTTGTTAACCTGTAAATAACAATCGCCGCCACACAACGACGAACACCAACACTATCACACCACATACCGCCACCGCCACCATCCAACCACCAGCAACACCATGTATGGATTCAAAATCATTGATCAAACAACCTTAGTATTTATTCTGCCACAACTTTCGTGTCGTAATCCTCGTCAATCAGATTTTAGGAATATCAATGTCAGTGATGGGGTGGCAACGGCGACAGTGGTAGTGGCGGTGGCAGGGATGGTAGACTTTTTCATTGATTTTCATCTCTAAGAACTAAACAAAAAAAAATGATGAATTCAACAACGAAAACTTGGAAAAAAAATTGAAAACCTGAGTTTGCTTGACAGACGAAGAGGGTTGGTCAGAGGTTGATGTCTGGGTTTCTGGTTCTTCCGCCATTGAAGCTCACTTTGGAGATCGCGAGTTGGTCTTTTTTCCTCAGATCTATTTCCTCAATGAATAATATAGTAGGATTATTTCAATCTTTATTTCTTTTTCTTTTCTTTTCTTTTTTTTTTTTTTATAAAGGGCTTACCCATACGACGTATCATTTTGGTGATTTACCCAATAGGAGGTTGCCATGTAATCATAAATAGCAACGTTTGGCCCCCTTGAACTTGGGTGGGGTCCAACGAAAAAATAGGGCCGGAGCTCCTGATCCAGTCCCTTTCTATACTGTTATATAGCCGGCAAAGGATGATTACTTTTTTAAGTCTGATTAAAATGTTTTATCGTAATTAAAATATTTAATATAAATAAAAAAAATATTGTCATTAAAATATAAATAAAAAATAAACTGTTGAATCTAAATAATTTTAATTATTATTATATTTTTATAAATTAAAAGCTTAAACATACTTTATGTTCTAGTGTAATAAAAGGTTAAAAATTCATACGTTTATCAGTTTTGTTTGTACTTAAAAATTTCAAAATTATGTATTGGATAAATCAAATCTATCTATATATACAAATCAATTTAGGGGAGACAGACCTTGAGAATAATTTGCTCCTTACTTGTTTAATTATCAAAGATTAGTTTTTTTCTAATGAAATTATTTTATGTGTTCTTTATAACCGCTCTTACCATTTTTAAAACCACTTTAAATTTAATTTTTATATTTTAACACATTAATATGTAATAATCCCAATATTTTTTAGGGTCGGACATCGTCGTTGTGTTTGGGGCACATTTGGTTAAACGACATAATTATACACATACATAAGTAAAAACATGCATATAAATGACTATATTGTAAAAAAAAAATTGGAACATATTTTTTTTTAAAATATTTTTTTTATTAAATTACAAAATTTAATTTTATACTTATATTTTGTTTGATACGATGAAAAAATAAAAAGATAAATACAAATATTATATTTAGTAAGAAAGAATAATGGAAAAGATGAAAAAGTAGATGAATTAATTTACCTCCTAACTCACTAAAATCAATCCCTCCAAAATTAGAAAAAAAATAAAATAAATGAAAAGTTAATATTGTGTGTTGAAATATAAATATAAAATAGTAAAATATGCATCTATATTTTTTTCATTATTCCACTTTGTTATCCTACAAAACACAAAAAAAAAAAAAAAAAAATTAAACATTGTGCGTGCAGGATCTTGCACAATATACACATAAGAACAGATCTCTCCCGTGGTGAACAGGAGTCAGTCAATCGAATGGTCAGCCTTGTTGTTTTGAACAGTGTGAGATTCGGTGGTAGCCTGAAATGATAATGGGTGACTTTTGTGGGTCATCAGAGCGGTCCAGTAAACTGAGGGAGGTTCCTGAAACAGAGAAAAACGAGTTAGGAGGGCGTCGGAGTATTTTTCGGCGTATCCTCTCCGACAATCAAGTCAGTTATTTGAGAGAAGGGAAGAAGAAAATACTGTGTATAAGTTTTAGAAAAGGTTTTTGCGTACCGTCTTGCCTTTTGTGAGGAATATTTATACCTTCAAAACTCGTGATTGTTGTCAGTGTGGTCAGTAGGTGATCATTAAAGATGGATAACGTGTCTTCAGGAGAAATGACCTATTTCTTAACTGCTCGGGATCCCGAGCAACCAATGCATCGTCCTCGGTCTGTCGAACGTTTAATGACCCTCATTCGGCAAGGATGTATTAAATGCTTAGTCACAGGAGCATTTATTGTCTTTCACTTCCTCGTCATTATGCGTTAAATGTTTTCATCAAGGGGAATGTGCATTAAATACTTGTTTTTCCAAGTCGTGTGTCAGCAAGGGCGTTCTAGTCTTTTTGTCCCTGAACTGACAAAAGTATGTCACGCGCCAGCTCCCCTTTGGTTGAGTCCTCAACTTTCCTATGTGTTCTAACATCATCCAGGTAGGACCAGGTCATAGTGACTAATCTAGACTAGCCTAGGCTGATGTCCTGTCTATCAACAACCTTGCAGGAACAGAACGTCAACATAGTGGATACACCTCGGTGCCAAGGGTCTAGTACGGTTAGGGACCGACGTACCCCCTATTCGATCGAGAAATACGTGTCGAACCCCCCGTGCATACCGGCGTCGTAGGTCCTTATGCCTAGTACCCTCCTCAGGGAAGCGGGGATCATAGCCCGACAAGCACGTGTTGTGACCACAACAAAGTATTTTCCTTGACGCCGAGTCCACGTGTTGCTTATTTTGGAGTGTCTGAAAATGTCCCATCAATCATTTATACTTTTTATCCCTCCTACCAAACATACATGAAGGAATGAAAAACTTATAGGTAGAAAGATAGAGAGTGTATTACTTCCAACTAACATCCTTCTATTTTTCCATCCTACCTACAAAACACACCATTTAAAAAAAAAAAAATAACTGGCATCAATTGTTACTTATTCCTTGCTAATATGAAGGTAGATGGTCATTGTTCGCAAAGAAGCTATTCTCCACCTCACTGTCAAGGTTTCCAAGGATGATCACGGGCATTTCAGTCCTCAAACTCATATTTTATCACATGGTCTAATTCCCAGTGGCCACGAACTCCTAAATTCTATGACAAGATTACGATTCGGATCCATTCCAATACTTTTTCCCTAAATTCTTTCTTTGGTAGATCCCCACCACGTATCTCACTTCAATTCACGGGAGATAATCTATCAAAAAAGAAAATGGAGGAAATCTCACTCCACATGATTAGGATGTATGACTAACTATATCTAGAGCATGAAAACCTCTAGCAAACGACTGAGATTTGAAAAGCAACTCATAAATGATGCAACCAACCAAGCAACAGATCAATTCAACAAGGAATGAGGAGAGACTACAGCAGCACTTACCATTAAAAGCAATGGTTGGAAAGAAACCAAAGCAATAAATATAACCATTCAGCTTATTAGTGCCCGGAACATACAATAGTCATGACTACTGCTCTTCTTTTTTTAGTTCAAACAACACAACGGATTTAAGGAGTAACAGATGCAACAAACTTCCCGCCCCAAACTACCAAGCCATCAGCTGTACATGAACCTCCATTTACTCGCTCACTTCTTCAACCCAGCTTCAACTTCCAGCTTTTCCAAGTTTTAAATATCTACAAAGGAGAGTGAGCCTGCAATTCCCAACCACTCAACAATTAGACAAGGTAAAATATTTTTCCAATACTCTTCCTAATCAGAAGACAATGGCAGTGAGATAGCATCATAATTGGGTTAATCTCATTTTGCACCCTGAAAGATCGTTTGAATCTCAATTTACACCTCCAAAGATTAAAAATCTTAATTTACACCCTCAAAAATAGAAAATTGTATCAATGTACACCCTCAAAGATAAAAAATCTCAATTTGCACCCTTAAAGATAGAAATTTGTATCAATGTACACCCCCAAAGATCAAAAATCTCAATTTGCACCCTCAAAGATAGAAATCTGTATTAATGTGCACCTAAAATTAAATTGATAAATTATACCTAGATCCCCTCATGTTTGTCACTTAATCATTTGAACCCCTTCACATTTAGAATATTACCCCTACATCTCATGACGTTTGTACATGTGTAAACATAATCACTTTTCGTTGATATCTATTAATATAATCGTTAAAAAATATAATTTTATCCTAATAAAAAATTATAATTTCATATTACCCTTTATTTTGTGGATTCGATATACTCTAAAGTTCAAAATCAAGCTTACCATTTGAATGTCTAATAGAATGTAAATATTTATAAAAAGGAAAATATGAAAAATATTATATAAATATCTACATTTTATTAGACATTCAAATGGTAAGCTTGATTTTGAACTTTAGAGTATATTGAACCCATAAAATAAGGGTAATATGAAATTATAATTTTTTATTAGGATAAAATTATATTTTTTAACGGTTATATTAACAGATATCAATGAACATGGGTTACATATTGTACGTGCATAAATGTCATGAGATGTAAGAGTAATATTCTAAATGTAAAGAGGTCCAAATGATTAAGTGACAAACATGAGAGGATCTAGGTATAATTTATCAATTTAGTTTTAGGTGCATAATGATACAAATTTCTATATTTGAGAGTGTAAATTGAGATTTTTTATCTTTGGGGTGCATATTGATATAAATTTCTATCTTTGAGGGTGCAAATTGAGATTTTTTATCTTTGGGGGTGCACATTGATACAAATTTTTATCTTTGAGGGTGCAAATTGAGATTTTTGCTCTTTGAAGGTGCAAATTGAGATTCGAACTATCTTTTGGGCTGTAAAATGAGATTAACCCTAATTTTTTCCTCTTTTCAAGGGTATGAGTTATCATTTTAACCGTAACCGGATGTATATGTATCCATGCAGTTAAACATATGTGTATATATTATCGTATCTGCAATTTTTCTAAAATATTTTGCTTGTGCAAGGTGCATATATAATTAGTTGCAAACATACTATAGTCATATAGTGTTAGAAGAAAAGCACAGTACTTCTGCAATAGTTTTTGAATGTTTCCTGGAACACAAAAAACTGAACTATCACTAAATCAAAAGCCTGAATTGAGTGATAAGAGCCACCCAGCCCAATCACCAAAAAGCTAGTCTATATTGAAATGAATTTGTGGTGCGAAACGAGCTACAGGTGCTGCTAAGATAGGAAAGTTCACTGACCGTAGCAACTAGATCACATCAAGACATAAAGTTCATCATTCTCCACCCTCAGATGTTGATGCTTTCTCTGAGTCATTCATAACCCTCACCTCCACTTTCACCTCCACCGGTACTGGATGCGCGAGTGCAATACCTGCAGTTTAAAGAAAGGTTATGTCAATGTAGATACTGCTATACAAAGTAGTGATCCACCTTGGAATTGCACGATTTTTTCCCCAAGTATCACCCTTGAACCTATTCTACAATAATAATGTTTCTGGATGCATTAGTTATTCTTGATATAATTCAATTGTTGGTGACAGATGAACTTAAATCAAATTGGTTAAAGACCTACAGCTCAAGTACAAGCTAGCACTGAAATTGAACAAGTGCAATTTCCACTCAAAGAAATATACCTTTTACATGGATAAAGAAGTAACTCCAGATCATTACAATATTAGTAAACATATACATTGGATGTCCAAGACCAATCAAGCTCCATCCACGCTATGTTGATAGAAAACTTTCTTCCAATCAATTCAGAAAACCAAGTTCACTACCTTCTATATTAATCCCTTAATTAAAGTTGTTGCAAAGTATTGCTTTGAATTGCCTTGACTACCAATTCCTCAAATATCACAAGGAATCCAAGCAATTACAGCCATTTGAAACACACGCTACCTATACAGATAAGTAGCTTGCATTTCATTGTCTTCTGTTTCCAATTCAAAGCTTGTATCCGCATCGTTTCACAGTAATTTCCTATAATGCTTCCAATGGGACATGTAACAAAAACTTAGTGAACTTGCGAGGCTGCTCAGCTTTTCCTTCAAGAACTACTGAGAAGGTGAGATGGTTAATGCAACCAAAAATAACTAGAATGTCCTTCTTGCAATAACCTGGAGAAATACAAAAGCAGATCAAAAAACTGCAACTAGGAGTGTACACAATGCTACGTTTGCCTTGCCCTTCACTGCTTGAAGTAATGCAGTTGTGCTGTGCCAAATCTTGCAGCTATGGTTGATCTTTGTTAATCATGACAAAATAAAACTTTCCTCGATAGTGATTTCATTGTGTAAAGACCACCGGTTTGTGCATCTATGAAGTGAAGAGAATGGGGAAGCTGAAGAGGCATCCTCCTTTTTATGATGACAGTAACTAAGGGTACAGGAATCTAAGGAACTGAAGAGAATGGAGAAGCTGAAGAGGTATCCTCCTCAAGAGATCAAGATTGAATAGAAAATATTCTTGCCAGAGGAGAATGAAGAAACGTGGGGGATGTTAAGATACAGAGATTAGTCTTTTTGCAAGTTCTCAAATTTTTATGGATTTAGCTGTGTTGCTTGCCCGCCTATTGGAAATTAACTGATTTTTTTTTCAAAAAGTTCAAGAGATTTTGGGTGGAATTTAACTAAAATGGGAGAGGAAAAGTCATTACTGTCTCAAAAGTCTAAAGGCCATTGTCACTCCTCTAAGAGATGGGTTGAGAGTGTCTGAATTGATGGGGGAAATTTTGAGAGGTGGAAAGTTGATTGATCTTCGAGGAGGGGTGACAGCATCAATACGAACAGAGAGAGCTCTTTTTCAAGATGCTCAGTGCAGAAGAGAACAGAGGAAGAAGGATCTCAGAAAGCTCTAGGTGAAGTAGAAAGGATTTGGAAATAGGGAAGAGGATACCACAAGCACATTTTTTTTGATAAGAAACATAATTTTGATTGATACAATAAAAAATATTACATAAAGCTATGTTGGACAAGAGATCCAATCTCAATAAAGTAAATTACAATGCGGTAAAAGAGAACTACATTTAGAAAAAAAACTATCAAATATGGCTATCTATAAATCATAAACAACCCTCCATCCAGCCAAGAGACAAAATAGTGGGATACCCCTCAAAATCATTCGTGACCGATGGCCATAAGGATGCCAAGAAAAAGATGTGGTTCCATAAACCATCAACCACCTAGTTTTGATCTTCAAATATTCGAGCATGTCTCTCCAACCAAATAACCCATAAAATAGCAAGCATTGCACAATTCCATAGTATGACTCCTTTATTATGATTCTCAAAGCCCTTAAAATCCTCAACAAATATGGAAGAAAAGGACCTAGGAATTACCCAACTCAAACCTGTCAATGAAAACAACCTATCCCACAAACTGAAAGCAATAGGACAATGCAAAAAGATGATCAACGCTTTCACCATCACCATGACACATAATACACCACTGTAGAGAAAGACAAATTTGAGGTCTTCTCCTTTGAAGAATATCATTAGTATTAATCTTACTATGACCAGTAGTCCATGCATAAACCATCACCTTAATTGGTACATTAGCTTTCCAAATCATTAAAGAAGGGAGAAAAACTAAACAAGAAGGATCATCAATTAAAGACTCAAAGAATGATTTTCATGAGAAACACCCGGAAGACTCTAGCCTCCATAATCTTTTATCAAGCAACTCTTAATCTTACCAAAGGCACATTGGGGAGCTCCGCAATGCAAGATTTGGTTTCAAGGTCCACTGGTCTAAATTTTCTGGACGATGGTAAAAGGAGTTGGCCTGTTGTCCACACAAGTTAAATTTTATTTGATTAATGGAATGTGATAAAGAAAGCTAGAGTGAAAATATTTGTATAAATTCAAATTGATTCCGTTCTAGGTTGACAAAGAAACTTCCTTTCATGGACATGTTCAGAAGGCTATGGAGATTAATAATTTTAGAAAATGTTATCCAGAAAGCCCCTTTATGGTAAGTATGGTATCCGGAAGTTAACTCATGAGCATCTTAGCTTTATCATGGTTTGCTTTTTACTTGTTGACCGGAAGAGGTGTTTGCAAGAATTGGTGTGTTGCAGAGGTTGTATTGAAGCGGATAGAAAGTCCTTGAAGTTTTCAAATCTGTATAAAGATAGAATCAAAGCTTGGTAGAAAAAATTCCTACTCTATCCCAACGTCATTTGAAGGTGATTTTAAGGTGAAGAATTTCCCAAAAAGAGTTAAGGTAATTTCTGGAAAGTGCAGTGTTCATTTCAACGGTCATAGCAAGATAATCCATGGTATATGGCCAGGAGGTTGAGGACTATGGTTAGGGGGGAAATAGGTTGCATAGGGGGCACACAGGTTCAACAAACCTAATGGTGTGATTCAGAATTTTGGGCCAAAATTTAATGAAGAGAAGTGGAAAGTTACCCATTCAAAAAAAGAAGTGGAAAGTTTAGGCTTTTTTAACAACAAAAAAGGGGTTGTAGTTACGGAGGAGAAATCTCAAGATAATCCAGTGAATAAGAAATTTCTAAATTTTGAGCAGTGAATTGCTATAGATAGAAGTGCACCAAATGTGATTACCTCTAATAAAAACAGGAAGGTAGGGTTGGGCTTGGAGTTGCACCAAACGTTTTAAAAGCCAAGAGAATATGCAATAGTGATATTGGCTTTAATTTTAAACAAAAGTGTGGAGCCCAGGACCTTGTTTCTTTGATTCTAAAAATCCAATGTCTTCATATACTTGTGACCTGGATCTGAATAAAAGGAAGTTTCGATCTCTGGCTAAGATTAGGGCTATACTGTCTGAGTGTTCGGTCAACAAGAGTGCTATGGAGATCAAAGTTACGCTGAATCGAATGCAACAAATTGATGTCGAGTGGGTTGGGAAGTTCATAAAGGATCTCTGAGGGTAAACCTAGAGTCCAACGAGTGAATTGATTTCTGACTCGATTTTGATGAGAAGAGTGAGATGGCTCAGACAATAACTGGGCTCATTCTACATACAATACGGGTGGATCACATTGATGAAGAGTTTAAGTGAAGTTCGACCAAGTTATAGCTGCTCTAAGTCTGAGGATGATGAAAATGGAAACAAAACCGAGGGAATTGAGAGCTGTGAGGATGAGTTGAAGGTGGCAGATTTTACAATCAACTATGAGGACATGCTCGATGAACATGAAAGTGGATTGCTCCACTAAAATGGATACTCTAGTCGGAATACTTCTGTCAATAAGTGGGAATAAAGTATGATCAAGGATAATTTGTCTGCTCCGATGGAATCTTTTGGGCAAATTGACGAGGTGTGTGCTTCTTTTAAACCCGAGTCTAGGGTTTCTTTCTCTTCTAAGAAGCATTTGTTGCACAATGAATTACCTATGGTACGTTCAAAGAATCCACAACAGGGTAACCCAATTTACAATAACAATCATTTGTTTCCTTCTCCTCCCCTTTCTCACCAACTAAACAGAATTATACAATAACCCAAACAACAATGTACCCAATCTTCAAATTCACACAGAAATCCCATTCGCAATATCATTTTTTTGCAACCAAACAGACACTCAGAATGACCCACACACAACTACGCACATATCAGATAATTATTCCAAGATTTCAAATTCCCGACGCAACCGAACTGGAAACTTCATTTTTTGTTTACTTTTCCGTCATACTCTTAGTAACCGAACAAAAAATTAAACATATATTAAAAAAAATATATAAAGAAATAAAGCATATCACCAACCGGTACCATCAATAAAATACGCCGACGAAGGCCACCCACGGTCAGAGGTCAACGACAGCGTTTCATCCTCGCTGATCGGCTGAGGAGCCGCCGACACCTTGCCGATGACTTCCACCACATTATAGGGATGTCTGAGGTGCCGAGGTGGAACCCAGTAGGAGGATCCGGGAATGAAGGGTAGCCAATCGGGTGCGGAGCGCCTCACTACAATATTCTGTATGACTTCCTCGAGTTTTCGGACGCTGTGGACGTCGATTTCGGTGGATTCGGATGTGGATTCGGAATTGGATGTGTCGAGATCGATTTCGATGAGCTGGGCTTTGTTGGAGCGGTGGCGGTGGTTGTGGTGGTGGTGGTGGTGTGTGAGGCAAGGAAGTGAGAGAGTGGTGTTTTTGCGGGTTAGGCTTTGAGCGAGGAGTCGGGCCATGGTGGAGAGAGAAAGAGACGGAAAGAGGAAGTTTTTTCCAGAGAGAGAGAGAAAGATGATCGTTGCGGAGAGTATGGCGTCTATGGACTAGATGTGTGAATGGGTTGATGCACAGGTGTGCGTATGCGTGTGCAAAAATGATGGAAATCATGCGTTATGGATGAGTTAATACATTTAGATGGAGTTTAAATTTAGATAATTTTTAAATTAAGTTGAGATATTAATTTTTCATAAATTTTTTAATTTCAGTATAAATAATTTCAAAAATTAGTTGAAATACATATAAATTAATCTAGACACACATGATCGTTGAAAAAAAAAATTCAATGGCCCAATGGACACAATTTTAATGAATTTGTTTTTAATTTGAACTCGGATTCAATTAATTTGATAAAAAAATTCTTATTTTTATGAATAATTTGAATTTGAATATATTTTATCATAAGAAATGTATTCAATTTGGTTATAAAGTATCATATGTAATTGTAATTCATTTTATTTGTATGTCATATAAATGTGCTGATTATTAAATAATTAGAGTTGATGATGTTTAAAATTGCCGCTTAAATAGATTCAATTCATATTTTTGAGGTGCAAGAGAAAATATTAATCACAATGGTTACACATGACATAGTTTAACCATCCAATGATAGGATAATGAGTGGCCAAGTAGATTCTATAGATAACTATTGCATGACATGTATGAGTAAGTATTTAATAATGTATAATTCATTTATCTACTTCGTTATTTTATCATTGGATGATTACAGTATGTCAATGTGCTCACTCGTTATTCTATCATTAGACGATTACATCATGTTAACGTGCTCACTCGTTATTCTATCATTTGACGATTACACCATGTTAGCATGCCCACTCATTATACTATCATTGATCGATTACATCATGTTAGCATGCCCATTTGTTATTCTATCATTGGATGATTATACCATGTCATCATGCTGGCATGATGTAATCGTTGCGATAAAATTTTTTTGGCAAATCAGAGTGTCATTGCATCAAGTAACAGGTGGCATCCCTGCTGTTTGAGATCAAACTATCAAAGTATTGTGGTCCATATTGAAAATCTGATTATTCCCTACCAAGGGGCCAAAGTAGTGCATCCTATGAGCCAGAATCAATGATTAAACATATCTACAGTAATAAAAAGAATAAATTTATAATTGAATAAAAGAATGAGGCATGAAAAATAAATGTCACAGTAAACAAGAGGATTCACCTACTCAGGAAGAATTTAAGAATACAATAAAATTAAGGGAGAGACGAAATGGTCTCTAAAGTAAAGTATGGTTTCCCTGTGGTGGCATTGCACTCTGAGGATAGTAGAAAGGATCTCCAAACGGGTTTGAAGAACCCATATATGGCATCTGTTGCTGAGAAAGCATTTGTTGCTGAGAATATTGATGAGGCACCATCATCATCATGTTCTGCTGTAGCTGCTGCTGCTGCTGCTGTTGTTGTTGCATCATCATTTGTTGATGTTGATGTTGATGTTGCTGAGCCATCAAGGCCATCTGCACGTTGGTCGGGGGTGCTATGTTGTTGGACATTATAAATGGATCCTGATGATCAAATGGATTTGGTACTGTCGTTCCATATTCATAGCCTGTACTGTAGCCGGTATTGTAGCCTGCATTCGCCAGCTGTATTTGTCTCCTGGCAGTATCATCTTCATACAAGCTATCAAGTAATAGCTTGTCAAACCCACCCGCCTGATGCAAGAAACCAAAATGCACATGCAATCCAATGAAAATCGATGTGATATTGCCTTCTTGTGCACTTATATATTGAGTCACCCTACTATACTGCATTTTTAGTTGCATAGGTACGCCAATATGTAGTTACAACTAAGAGCACAACACAGTTCTTGTCAGGTTGGTTGCATACTTGTATTAAACCTAATCATGACTGCAGGCTTAGAGCATCAACCGAGGCATTGAACCGCGTAAGCATCATATGCAATGCAAATATGAAACCTATTAAAGGCCACAGACAATAAAGATAATTGGAAGTGTCCCAATTAAAACCAAACCAAGCACAAGGCAAGTTTTTATGAGACTTTTTGTATAAATGAAGTAATCAATGCTATGAACTGTTAAAAGTTCTTCACACTGCACAGAGATACCCGCATGCAACTTTTTTTTTTAACTGGACATGCAACTTGACCTGAACAATTTGTCGAGCAGAACTAGACCAATATCCTTGCAAAAGATATGGAAAGTTTATAATGGACTTTTCTACCAACGAATACTCCAACGTATTGTTGGTATTTCAATTATCCAAAATCTAAACCAAATCCAGCTCAAGGTTAAGGCAAGTTTCTATTGAGGCAATAATGTCTAGTACAAATGAGGTCGTTAAAGGAAAGTCATTGACACACCACATACAGCCACAAACATACCACATTGTCATTCTAAAACAAAAATCAATATCCTAATCAATATATGTAAGAAACTTAATATGACCTCCAGTCAGTTAAATTGAATTAAATTTAAACACTATTCAAATCTTCAATAACATTTTGTAGTCCTGTGAAACAAAGAAGAAAATGCAGTAAAACTCTACATGGAGCTAAAAGCACAAACCAATTTTCTTTCTGACGCTTGGCTATTATTGTTGCTCGGTGTAGTAACCAGAGCGAGCTCCCATCCTGAAGTTTTTCCAATTTCACTCAACCCATGATTCATCGAGAAAGGATCATGACCTGTATAATACTTCTATGTATCAGATCAATCTTATATAATAATCCTAAAAACATGTAGAATAAGTTAAATTGTCAGCAAATTCGAGTACGTTATTGTCATTTTTAACAAGGGGACCCTGATTTCATCTAATGACCATGAGAATCTTTTATCTAGACATGTTTGTGCTTGGGTTGTCCAAATTGAAAAATCCCATCACTTTTTTCTTGGGACTGTTTTGTTAAATGGAAAAGTAGTGAATAACTACAATCACTCAAACACAGCATAATTGTGCTTTGAATATATCAAAACTCCTCAGCATTAATAATTAATGGACCAGTCAGGTGTTTTTTCAATTTGACATAATTGTTCTACAGCTAAGCTCATCCTTAAACTCTATCAGGCATGACATTACCCAAAAGCACATATATGTGCAATTACCAGGTTGAAATATGGCAAGAGCCATCGCATTGCTTTCCTCTAGTTCGGCAGCTTTTGGATTTATTTCATTCAAACCCTGAACAGAACAAGTGCAAGAATGAGGCATGCACTAGAGTTAGCTTCCCCAACCTGGAATGATAAATAAAACAAAGAGTTTGAAGGTACCAGCAAATCCCCAGGTTCTTCGGGTGCTATCAATGGAGGAACTTCATCCTCTTCCTTAGGCTTAGGTTCTTCTTGTGTATCTTCCAATTCTTCTTTAATTTCAACTTCTTCTTCTTCTACCAGTTTTTCGCTCTCTTGAGGAGCAGGTTCTTCGTGTTTCTGATAATCTTGATCTGTCTCCTGAAACTCCTATGTTCAAAAGTCACATTATCAATACATTTTTTCATATGTAGAAAAGGGTCATGCCAGTCCACTCTTTATGTTATATAAACTTCTATAATAAAAGGGCAGCCCAGTACATGAGGGTTCCGCAACTTCTAGATTAAGAAACTAATTCAAGTTGCACAAGTTACTCGAAGCAAATGGAACATACTTCAAGCAAAAAATAAAATACCTTTTACGGTGAAGCTGGAATAAGAACAAAATCATAAATTCACAGACATGCGGGAAAAGATCAAATAAATCAGTAAATTATCTTTCGGTAGATACCCCTCATATTGCTTGTCTGCTCCACTGAAACAAAGTATTAAAAAGGTTTGGCGTGCTTACTTACAAAACATATCCTCTTTTATAAGAAGACTTTTATGTTTGATACGTGTCTTTAACAAAATGAAAAGGAAGTGAAAAAAGGGAGAATAAAGATCAATTTGATCACATAAGAAGTGAACCAAGTTATGTACCCTCTGAATGTATACCCTTGGAGTGCAAAATATTTTTGTGCTTATAAATTCATCAAGATAACAGAAGAAGTTACTAATCCAGAAAAACTTGTCCTTAGAGATAATCTGTGAGAAGTTTGAACTGTCTGATGATACTGACAAAGCATAATGGCCAATAGTAAATTGGGATATGAATGGTGCATCTAGATCAACTCTCACTCCACAAACTTTGGCAAGAAACTAAATGAGTGATCTCCCTGAAAGCATAAGATTATGAATGAACAAGTTCATTACAAACTCTGTTAAAGGACAGATCAAACATGATTATGCGCCATACAAGTTGAAATACACAAGCATATGACGACAATGATCTTAATCAATTTATAATATTCAGAAAAACTGGATGCAAATTTTTTCTGTTCCTGTCAACATCTGCAAATCTTTTTAAATGCAGGCACTGCCTATGTCACTGTCACATCAAAATGCAGAATTTCTAAATCATGCATAATAATGTTCATATTTCTCTCTGTTATGTGCTGTCTGGCTTTGCTGGCAGGGCTGTTGTATTGGTAACACTTGCAATTGTTGCTGTGATGCTGGATTCCCATATATGTTTCTTCTTTCTATGCTATGTTTGTGCTCATGTTTTTGTAACTATATAGATATTCCTTTTCGTTCTGGGGATGGTTGATCTTCTGTTTCTATGTTTAGAAGATCAACCATCCAACTGCCCCTTTTTCTTTTCAGTGGATTTTGGGTGTTGATTGTATATGGGGTATACTTTTCGTTTATGGATCCTTTCTGGTTGAGATCACTTTACTTATGGGGAAAAATAATTCATTCATCCCACATTACCTCAATGGAAAATAATAAGAAAGTTGGAAAGACAGCTTAGCAACAAGACTGCTTACAATGAGAAAAATTATAAAAAAAAAATTCTCTTAACAGCCAAAACAAATGAGCAACACTGATTTTAATTTCTGTACGACATAGCTTGGATTGAAGACCAAATGGACTCATCTGTTAAGTTGACTGATAAGCATGGTTGATACCAATTTGTCATACTGGTTGACCAAAAGCATCGAGTGCTGTAATGCTTTCATAAAGCTTCATTGCTATAGTGCTCTGATTTGGGAGGTTAAACTTGGCAGATAAATCAAACAATCCTCCATCGATTGATCCAGTTCAACAATGAACAAGTTCAAACTTGTTTAGTACAACAGGTTTTCTATAAGGCACATGACAAAAAGTTGAAGTAACAACTCAGAGCAGAAAAAAAACTTTAATTTTTATGCATATACATATATGTACATGCTTTGAAAAATAAAATCCCACAGTGAAATGTATGTTCTCACCAGTCTCCTATGTGAAGCAGAACCTATCTGAGGTGCTTCTTTTATATATTCCTCCATTGTGGCAAGAAATGAAGGAGGTGGCTGTTCATTGCAGAAAAAAGCCATCATATATAACTGTGCAATCATATATAACTGTGCACGGGCATTGACTAAACCTTTCCAGTTTGTAAGTACAAAAATGAACCTGTCTCAATGTTGGAAACTGAAAGTTCCTAGCAAGATCCAAACCTTTGCAGAAGTCATAAAAATCAGCAAGATTTTCAGCCTACAAAAACATAAAGAAAAAGAAAAGAAAAGCAATAGTTTAATCTGCAGGTTTTTGCCACACGAGGGCATCTAAAATATATTCATGCACAGCAATTAGAATTGCCAAAGACAGTATATGTGTAACCTGTTGTCCAGCTCTTTTGTAGATATTCAGTGCTTTAACTGCGTCATGTTTGGACATGTCAAAGAACTGCAGGCCAATGGTGAGGAGGTTGGCAGTCAGATCAAGGAAAATTCTTAATGAAGGGAAAATGGTCCACTAATCTGCAAATTATGATCATACCATGTCCACAAGATTAATAATCCCATCATTGATGGCACAATATATTTTGAAGCTTTCTTTCAATACCTACATCATCAACAGTTCAAATCTTAAGCAGTCTTAGACATGCAATAAGTATTTACTATAATCCGACATATTATGCCCCATAAAGAATAATATGTCAAAAAAAGAACATGAGATTTTCAAAGGCTTAAATAAAGATATGGTTATCGAACGAAAAAAAATGTCCCAAATTGAATCTGAAAAAATTTTATTTCGTGTTGCACGAAATACTTTATTAATCTGCTACTTGCATCAACACTGAATCAAGATTTCAGGATATCAAGAAAATAACTCAACATCGACTTATGAATTCTTATATGCATAGCTCGCCATAATCAGGTTGGGACTTTGAGGAAATTTCCATCTAAGCTAGATGCACAAGAAAAATGATGTTCATTGTGCATACCAAAGCCAATGCATACTGTATTACATAATTATGGTAAGCTGCTCCTTCAGGCTGCAAAATTTGGAAAACATTAGATAGCATCTGAGAACAATATTATAACTAATCGTTCAAGCAGCTACATGAACAGCCAATTCAATTTGTAAACTTCATATCAACTATTACCTGGCAACCAACTAGGCGGTAGAGAAGCTGCTGCAATGCAGGTAGTTGCTCCAACAACTCGTCACCACTCAAGAGCCGTGTTCTGCTGTGCGCCTGATGTAACAAGTAATATTTAATAGTAAGCAATTGCAAGATAACGTAGCATGAGACTAAGAGAAGCGATCCTACACACCTTTGTTGCCCCAAGTGATGATTTTGTCAAACGCTCTGACTCAATGTCATATCTCAGGGTTCTAAAACACTCGAGGCGTTCCTCTAAGAAGAGTGCATATGTCCGAACCCATGCAGAGCAATCCCAAGCTGCATGACAAAGTGTCAATTAGAAAATGAAAAGTGCACACAGAGAATCACTGTGCACAGCATTAGGCAGGATCAATTTACCAAGAGCGCTCGAGTCATCCTTGAAATTGGATATTTGAAAAACATGTCCTCTGTGTAAATAGTTTAGTAATTCCTCTCTGAAGGTAGGATCACCCTCTCTCAATGTCCTATGAATAACAATCAACGCCTTTATGGCAACCTGTGAGTAATCATTCTTATGTAAGAGACAAAAAGCCATGAAAGCAGTATAAGCATCTACTATAGAGCCAGGATGCTACAGTATTTAGTTGTGTTGTAAATGTAGACTCAAGAGTGCATTCATGTGAGATGCAATTTCGCTATTTCATCCACTGATTCTGTGGACAAAGTCAAAATTACTGGGGCACTGATCAGCACAAGCTCATTCTTTTTTTTCCCTTGTGTTTCTACTTTAATGAGTAAGTAAATTGCGATTTGCAAACAAAATGGAAAACACAAAAACAAATAAATGAGTATTAAGTACAATATCAGAAAATGAGTAGAGAAGACTTTACAATCCAGTTGCGTGTCTTTGCCAACCTCCTTGAAAGTGTATGAATGCAGTAGGCAACATCTGCCCGTGGACGGGCAACCGATGTTGCAAAAAAAATTTCTAAGAAGAAACAATAAAACAGATATGAGATTCCCATAAAGAAAGGAAGGAAAAAAGAAGAGGAGGAGAAGAAAAATGCTTCTTTGATTCATAGTCAATGAAAAAGCATGTTCCTTTTCAAGATGAAACATTCAACCCCTAAATTACATCATATTCCACAGTTACTAAAGGATCTAGCTATAGTTTAATCATGAATTGATACTTTTTCCAAAAGGAAAAATTAGAAAAACCAAGAACATATATTGATTGAACAATAGGGGTATCCAACAGATCCACAACCTTAATGTATTTCCAATTCACAAAATCCTAGGAAACACGAAAACATATGTATAGGAATCCGTAAACTCACTTCTAACGTGCCGTTCTTTTGGAGGACCCTCTACATGATTGGTGGCCTTGACAATGGCAATATCCAAATCCTTCGATAAAAAACGAAACAGCAACAGAGATTGATCGTTTAAACCAAGCCATAAATCAACATTAAAACAGAAAAGAAACACGTAATCTACTATTAACATATATGAATTTTAATATGGATAAAAGCATGATACATATAAATCACGTACTACAAACCTTGAATTCGCTATTGACCTTGGCCAGGCCAACCTTGGTGGAGTCCTTAAGCGCCCCATAAGCTTTCCTGAAGCTTTGGAACGTACCCATTTCCCGTCAAAACCTATGTTTTGTAATGGCAAATCGAATCTCTTTCTTTTTGATCGAAAGAAGAGAGAGAAATAGAGATGGATATGCTCTTCTCTGGTTGTTATCCGGATGCTGCCAACAACAAAAAAAAAAAAAACCAACGTCTTTCTCCCTCTCTCTCCTCTCTCTTATTGCTATTGTGATTCTGTCGCAGTTGTCGGATGTTAGCTAAACATTTGATTTTAGTCGAAAGGTCGACTTTTATTTTTGTTTTTTGTAGCTAAATAACTAAATAATCCGCTGAGATTGTTATCAACGATGAAGAATATTTTGCTCGTAAAACGTACGACTTGCATGCGGGTGTAAGAGAGGTCGATAGGCTGGCGGTCTCTAATAATCAACACGTGTCAATTGTGAAAGAGGCAAGTTTTTTTAATGGGTTTATCGCAAATTGGACTCCAAAATATATCTCAAATTTTAATTTGTATCCTCAAAAATTAAAAATCTTAATTTATATTGTCAAATATATAAATTTGTATTAATACATATATAAAGTCAACAATCGTCAATTTATCGTCTAAAACTATTTTGATAAGTTATACCTAAATCCCTTTAAATTTATCATTTAATTATTTGGACCTCCTCACATTTTAAAATATTATTTTTATACTTTCTGACGTTTATACATGTGTAACACATAATTGCTTATCGTTGATATCTATTAATATAACCATTAAAAATCATGATTTTATTCTAATAAAAATATATAATTTTCATATTACATTTTATTTTGCAAGTCCGTTGTATTATAAAATTCAAAATAAAATTTATCATTTAAATACTTAATATAATGCAGGTATTTATATAATGTTATTTATATTTAATGCAATACATCACTTGAACAAAATTATTTAAATGCCCAATTGAGCTAACGTTTTTAGTCATATTTAGATTCTTAGGAGATGTAGGTATAATATTTTAAATGTAGGGGTCTAAGTGATAAGCATTAGGGGTCTATATGTAATTTATCCATCTAGTTTTAGACATCAAACTAACGACTGTTAGCTTTAGATGGGTATTAATATAGATTTATATTTTTAAGGGTATAAATTAAAATTATTTATCTTTGAAGGTAAAAATTAAAATTCGAACGATCTTTCATGTTGCAGTTTGCAACTAACCTTTTTTTTTATTTTGTTCTTGAACAAATTTCACTTTGCCCCTTAAAAGATTTTTATTTATATTTTTAAAAATTAAATATCTCACATTATACTTTCAATAATATATCAAAAATTTTACAATTTAATCCTTTTGTTAGCTTTTTGTTAGTTTTTTTTATGGGTTGACTTTTGACAAAAAAAATAATATAAATTAATAGAATAGTCATATTATAATATTTTTTATACATTGAATGTATAATATGAAAAATTTAATCTTTAAAAATATAAAGTGAAAATCTTAAAAAATATTGGAATACAAAGTGCAAAAAATCCTTTGTTCTTTCTAGGTTAGCCTCCCCTTCAATTCTCTTTGAATGGTGAATATGTTTCTGTTTGAGTATTTTTTTTATTAAATAAAAAATTTTGAAATTTTAAAATATCAAATAAACTAAATATGTTAATTTGGATGGATCCTATCATTTAAAAACAATTGGAGGATCGTCAAATTATTTGAAGATTGAATGGGAGTCTTACATTTCATATTTAATTGTTAGCTAATTTATTTTTGGAATAAATATATTTTTGATCCCTCGCAAATGCTCCAAATGTCACTTTGACGTTGCCATTATCAATTTTATCAAATATATTTTTAAAATTTTTTGGTCAACATAAAAAATCCAATCAATGACAAACGTTGTATTTTGCATAATTTCTACCAATATATATTTATCAAAAATTCTCTGAAAGTTGATTCAACCTTCTAGTCAACTGTAAAACAAAACAAAATTGTATCCATTTGAGTTGGACACTTTTAAAGCAACAATGTTATATCCACTAAAATTTTTACTAAATTTGGTGAAAATTTTGGTAAATACGTCATATTCCCCTTTAAAGTTATTTTTCCCTTTTGTTCCTATTCCATTTTGGTTAGTGAACAAAAAAGAATTTCATTTTTTATATTATTGCATTTGAAACTTTGGCAATTGTGGGTTAGGATATAATGGTACTCTCTCGCACATGACTCCAAGTGGAGACCCAAAGAATTTGGAGAAATTATTCTAAAAACTTTGGATAATTTGGAAGTTGGTAAAAAAATTTAGACTTATTTGAACTAAACTACATCTAGAAAACTTATTTGACTCTAAGTGAATTTTTTTGAAAAAAGACTAAAAGATCATTTATTACTCAATTACTCTCTCTCTCTCCTTTTCTCTCATCCCTATTTTATCTCTATCTATTTCTCTCATTCTCTTTCTGTAAAATCTGAGTAAATTTAAACTTTTTTCAAAAAGGAGTAAAATGATAAATTATCACTATGATACGAGTTGTAAACTTGAATTTTTCTAAATCTTGTATGACGAAATGGACCTCACTATTAGATTCGTCTTGCAAAATCTAGTTATCCTGTCAAATTTCATCAAATTTTGAGATAGTCAAATTTTTTACGTTTTACAAGGCGATCAAGTCTCGGGTGACAAAAAATGAAATTTTTAATAAAATTTTGAAAGTTGAAAAATATATTGAGGCAAGTTAAAATAAAAATATTTTAAACTTAAACCAGAACGAAATTTAATCGTTTCGGGTTGAAAACGGACTCGAAAAAAAAGGTCGTGTGGCGCGTTGTGGATCAAGTGTTTTAAGAGTATAAAAAGGGAGAAATATCATATTTCTCCCCCATTTTTGTTCAGTCATTACTCGAAAGAGAGAGAGAGTGAAGAAAAAGGAAAACTCTCAACCTTCTCTCTATGATCTACGGAATTCTAGCAGTCGAATCCGCTCGGGCCAAGAAAGAAAGTTGTTCTCCTCGCCGAGTGGTACACAACCACACAAAAAACGACAAGTTTCACCGAAGGTTCCAAGGACTGGATTTTGGGGAAGTGAGGGTTCAAGTTTGTTTTGGGTTCTTGAGATTTTTCAACGTCGTTTTACGCTTCAAGAGGTAGGGTTCCTTCATACTTTGGTTTATTTTACAACCTAGAATGTTATATGAGCTGGGTAGGTTGATAGGGTTATATATCACTTGCCTAGGTTTGTGAAATTGAGGAAATTGGTATTTAAAATGGGTATAGAAATGGTTTAAACAAAATTCATAGCGTGAAATTAATATGTGAAAATTATTTGTGTGATTTCATGAAATTTGATATTATGTGGGCATGCTATGTGTTTATATTATACTTTTGTGATTGAGAGTGTTATTGACACATATTATGTAATAACATGCTTGAGAAATATTGTTGAAAATAAAATATTGATATATGTTCATTGATATGTTAACATTATAATAAAATTTGGTAATTATATGCTTATGACATAATTGGGCATGAAATATGCAGATATGTGGTTAAACTTACTCATGTGACATTCATTATATATGAGCATGACATTGATATAACAATGACGCATTACATTACATTTGCACGGAGGAACCGCACCCATAGTCATGAGTGTGGTGTGTGTGTGCATGGTTAATATCAAACACCACGTAGGTGGATGACAGGTGGGCTCGAAAAAGTTAGATCAAAAATCCGACTGAGTCGCACGGTTGCATGGAAAAAGAATTAGGTTAGGGTTAGCAAAAAAGGCTAGACTATCCCTCGGGTAAGAGACCCTATGATCGGATACGCACTTCGTTGGTATAGAGCTCATAAAGTGTGTCGATGTACAAGAAACTGTTGGTGAAAATCCATAAATTCCGTGTCAGTTGGATGCCGTTGGTGTAAGTCCATAAATACCCACTCCAAGAAAGATCCAAAAAATTTTAAAAAATAGTCATTGGGTGTGTAACGCCAATGGCTGGGGCTTGGAAAGCCCAGTTTTATACTCATAGCATTGTATGGGTGAAAGAAGTCAGGGAGGGCTTGAGTTGAGTTGCATGAGTGAGTCTTATCTCATTTAATGACATGACATTGCTAAAATTGCAACATTGAATAGAATATTCTTGTGTTGGGATGTAGTTGTTTGTTAAATGTTGTATGAACATTTCATATAAACTTAAGTTGGGGAGTAGCCTTTGTAGGAAATACTTTATTGGGCGTGGCTCACCCTATACGGGAAAATATTTCAGGTGCAGGAGGAAGGCCCTCACATGAGACCTCAAGGATGAAGAAAGTCGAATTGTGGCTCTATTTTGATATTTTGTAAATGGTTATGAAAATTGTGTTTTTGATATGTAAATTCATGGAAATGAATGTAATATAGTTGATATGAATCTTGTGTAATATGAAAATCTTTATATACATGTGTTGGATAGAGTTAATATGGTTTGAAATGGATTGGAAATGAAAAACAAGTCAAACAGACAAATCTGGGCAAGACCTACCGGTAGATCGCTGTCCAGTGGACAACACCTACCGGTAGGATCTTGTATACGCATAAATTTTGTTATCAGGCAAAACCTACCAGTAGAAATTTTTCAGTGGGCAAAATCTACCGGTAGGTTCTCCAAAAATATGAAATTTTAAAACTGTTTTGCCATACTTTTGGACTTTTGGTTTTTGGGTTCCAAGAATATAAATGGACATAAAATAAGAATAAATTGTGGTATATCGGACCTTGGTGGGGTTAAATGGCGAAATGTACACGAGTTACACGTGTGGATGATGACCCCAGTTAAGAGGATGCTATTGACGTGATGCCGATTTGTGCGATAATCACGGGTACTTCTGTGGGTTGACGGGTGGTCAACGGTTGAAAAAGACCCCCGATTTTAGGGGCGTCATACTTTTTCTCACATTGAAAATTAATTTTTTTAAAATATATAAATGTTTAATTTAAGTTTTTCATCTCTCTCTCCCCCTTATTTCTTATTTTCTCTCCTTATATAAACGTTACAAAAACACAATTAAACTAATTAGTTACACAAATTAGTTACAATTACCTTATACTACACCAAATAGTTATTCATGTGTTCTAATAAACACAAACAATTACACTAAATAATTATACAAAATTACAACACCAATTCAATTTATCATTAAGTTATTTACATAAATCAACGAGTTACACCAAATTGGGTTTATCATTACACAAAAAATTTTATCGTTATACTAAATTTGGTATATATA